ACTTATTTGGAAAATATATCACAGTTTTTTAAAGATATTATTTATTTGGAAAATATATTACAGTTAAACGAGTTTATATCTCCAAAATGTCATAAAACAAAGGTTAAATAAGTTGTTACTCTTTTGCTCTTTTTTTTGGGGGAGGGGGGTTCTTTGGAGAATACAACGAGAAATTTAATGTTATTTTTGCAGTTACATAACATGAAAAGCTCAAATAAGCTGTATTTTGATAAAACTAATGTGAAAAATAGCCCCCCCTAGTGGCACAGCGGTATGTCTGCTGACTTACAACGATAGAAACCGGGTTTCGATACCCGTGGTGGGCAGAGCGCAGATAGCAAGCACATTGTGTAGCTATGTGCATAACTACAAAAGAAGTGAAAAAATAGAACAGAATCTTTTTTTTAATGTATACCACAGCAATTTTTAACAAATATTTTTTTTTTCTCTTTTGGAGATAACTAACATTAGAATTAGAAATATATTATTAGCAGGGCCGCCGAGATATCTTCCGGGCCGGGGTATAATCATGTACATATTGGTCCCCATAATCGTATGACTCACAAAGTTCATTACTTAATACCTCGTCAACAAATTGAACACTACAGGTTTCACAGACTCGCTAAGGTCTAACTTCTAAGTACGAATTTGCTGGTTATATTTTAATATAGCATTTTATGCATGTTACGTTATTTCCCATCGTCACCCTCCCCTCCACCCCTTATCGTTGAATATCTTTAATGCAAAAAATAACCACAGAATAATTATGTAGATTGTTTGGTTTGCTTTTTTGGTATTTTGTTCTACAGAAAACTACAACAGTTTTGCTTTAATTAGTGTTATAAAACTAAGTTATGGTAATTAACATAATTTCTGGAGAAGCCTGGGTGTTACTGTTATTAGTTCAAATTCCTGTACTAGACCCTGTTAGAGCTCTTCACGAAAAATGGAGCAACGAATCTCAATGTTTCGGACATTTTTCCAGCCAAAGAGCTTGTTTAACGATCGGTTGACGATTAATGTTTTTAACTTCATTTGTAAAATGACCTCGTGGGAAATTCAAGGAGTAGCTTAGTTTCATTGATCTTCGGAAAAATCTTTTCTTTTGACCGGTACAGCCTGTGAAGACTGCTGCTTCTTGGACAAAAGAGAGTACTTTTCTCAGTTTAATTGTGAAATGAAAATTTAGTTCTAACTTTTGAAAATAAAACCAAACGCCAAGAAACAGCTTCTTTAACAAAGTATCAAAATTTTGAGAATCTTTTTTTTTTTCTATTATTTGGAATTGTTTTTTTTTTTGCTAATCAAGTTAACTGTCAAGCATGTTCATGGGGGGAATCTGGGACTTGTACTTCGGCAAAATGAATCATATATATATTTCTGAATACTTACCTGTAAATTGTATGTCGTGAATGAAATTCTGCAAATAATGATAACTTATATATTTCTTTAACTTGTAAATTTTATTTTCTCCAGATAAAATATTGAGCACTTTCAGTTACAATAAAAATATGAAAAGATAATGTGGTTAGTCCATACTGAAACTAATTACCAGACAGTAAGAAGATTCTCCTCCTGTGTCGTCTTTTTTGTTGTTGTTGTTGTTATTTGTTTATAAGATCTCGTGCAAAGTTAGCCGTCCCTAATTTTAAAGTGATAGACTAAAGGAACGGTAGTTAGTCGATGCTACTCACGCCACCGCCAATTCTCGTGCAACTCTTATTACACTGAATAGCTGAATTAAAGCGTGAACCTCATAACGTGCCCATGGCCCTAAAGTACAGACAGCAGAGCTTTAGATCCCCAGTTCAGCACGTTAACTACTTGTAAAGTACGGACTGCAGAACTTTAGGTCCACAGTTCAGCACGTTAACTACTTGTAAAGTACGGACAGCAGAACGTTAGATCCACAGTTCAGCACGTTAACTACTTGTAAAGTACGGACTGCAGAACGTTAGATCCACAGTTCAGCACGTTAACTACTTGTAAAGTACGGACAGCAGAACGTTAGATCCACAGTTCAGCACGTTAACCACTTGTAAAGT